CGTAGAGGTGAGAATAATGGTTTGTATTCAGTAGTAGTCTAGTTCAATTTAATAAAAGATATAGACTGGATTCGTGTACGAGTAAATAAGTTTTTTTGAAACTTTATATTTAAGGAAAAGTGCAATAACTCAACAACGCCGTAACCGAATTTCAAAAACCAAACATGAAATGATATCAGAATTTAACGTAGCATCTGAATATGTAATGATATACAGGGCGTTCTATTTTAAAAAATGGAATTTTGGTCTGTAGCACCTACACCAACCACCCTGTATATTTAAAAATTATATCAAAATATAGCTCTCATGAACTCCTAAAACTTTTGTATGAAACATTTTTGTGTATCTCCTTCAACAAACCGGATATTGCCTGTCACATTAAATGTGGGACACCCGGTTTACCAGATTTATAAATAGTGTGATTCAAATGTCACAATTAAACTGTTTAGAAACGACTAAAATTAAAAGTTGGCAATCTTATCGAGTGCAATTTCTATTGATTATCGTGTTTATTTTGAAAATTTTCCATTATCCGAGGTAAACAATATTTTAATTTTTATTTTGCATTATCTGCAATGTTTTCTAATTTCTTTGAGATACATTGTACCCTTTTAAATCATTGAGAAATGATATGATAAATGTAAAGGAATCAAAACCAAAAACAACTTTAAGGAGGTAATAATTCAATTATAAAGCACAATTTAAAAATTGAAATATTCACATCCTGTTTAAAAGAACTCTTCATGAGATGTGTTTATGTAACACTGTTAGATCTAATAGTATTCTTACTTTATAAAGTGTGGGACGTGAGATTTTCCAAACTCACCGTAAGTTGATAGATGAAAAATTGCGTAATGTCTGAAAAGTGTTTGTAATAAGTTAGGTAAATATGCTGCAATGCCTCTGTTTACTCTATAAGAACTCTTATTAGGAGGTTTACGATTTTAGGTAGGATTGTTGAAAACATCAGATTTGAAATAACATAATTTACTAATAATAAACTCCAAATGTCATTCAGAGATTTGAATGTTAACAACTGACTATAGTTTGAGATCCTTCTCATATTGCAAGATGTTCAATCATTTACCTGATTAAGTATTGATTGGTTGAAAAAGTCCGGTATTGTGGAAAAACAATTAATTTTTTGAAATTTATAGACTACTTAATTGCATATTTTTGTACCGTACAGGTATTGTTAGCGAGACAAAATACATTCCGGCCAGTATTCGGTGCCTTATTGAGAGCCAGCCGGTCAGAGAGGCAGCACGCCAGTCACCTGAGAAGGCTACTGGCAGAGAACAACATCAACTATGACAAGCTGAAACTGGCATATGATTCTGGTGCCAAGGAGGGGCTCGAACAAGTCATCAAAACCGAGGTAACGCCTTGTTTTCTCTCGAAGTGAAATATTTCAGATTGGTTGCTACGAGTTTTTTTTTAAATCATGAAAAGCAATTTTTAAATATTTTCTGAAGTGAAATATTTGGATTTCATATAACACTTCATTATATTATACTGTATGATTGATTGATTGTAAAATGATTTAATGAACCAATTCAACTGAGGTACCTAACTACAGTGTAGCAAAACGGATCTTCAGTAAAATCAATAATGCGAAAACCATTTCATCCTCATGGATACTTTCTCTTGTTTAGGTCGCTAACGCCAAGGAGAAGGATCTTGAAGAGCTCCTCGAGATCCTCGACTGCTTCTTTGACCCCGAAAAGAAGGCGATCCAGCCGAAGCAGCAGCAGCAACAGAGGAACTACCAGTACCGCCGAAGAAGCGCCGGCAAGTTCAACCGCAGCAAGAGCTCCGCTTCGGACAGCCAGAGCCCGAACGCTTCGGACAGCCAGAGTCCAAACGCTTCGACGGACAATCCGACGACGGACGCCCCGACGGCGAGCAGCGACGCGACGACCCCGAGAAGCGAACAAGACCAACAACCGGCGGTAGTTGCCCCCGTCGCTGTTGAGTAAGTGCCTTGAGGTGGACAGCGAGAAAGAGAGGACGAAGAGGGAGGGAGGCAGCAAAACGGGTAGGTTGCGGGCTGAGGCGTCATTCCATGCCAAATTATATTTATTGGTCACTTTGGTACAATTAGTCGGGGTTTAAAGACACTTTTTTTAATCAATGATAATTATATTTAATTTTTAATTTAAAAATCATTTGTAAACATTTAAATTGGTCTTTTTGTTTACTGATTCGATTGAAAATACTTACCAGTCATTGAGTGAAATGGTATAAAATAAATAATGAAGATTAAATTACGATAAAAAATAACTTTTTGAAATAGAATTGTCTAGAGCATGACATAGCATTACCGGTAGTATGAATTCTTTAATTTGTATAGATATTCTTCAGTTTTAGTTTGTCTTCTAATCTATTTTAGAAATGAAGTTGTTTTGTTGCTAACAACATTCTTTAACCTCTAATCGGTATGGAAAGAGTTCAACAAATTTACACGTCAGTACAGAAAAAGAGTAATGAAATTGTATCAAAATGAATTAACAATTATTTGAAGAAGCTTTTGAAAATTCAACTTTGAGAGAATTTGAGATGTTGAAGTTTAATAGGTACGTTGATTTGATATGGAATGGCCTCCGCTGATGTCTTTTGCCGCGGCTCACTTCGTTTGCAGCGCCCTCTGTCGATCGCGGGATACTTATCATTAATAGTTAGCTTTCTGTTTTTCTTCTAATATTTTTATCACGTGCTGTCGACGGTTTTGACATGGTTTATTATTTGTTGACGTACGTGCCATTTCGGATTTCTTTTTTTTTATATATTTATAATGATATAGATATATATATATATATATATCGGTTATGTTGAATCGTGATAGGTTTATTTTTCTTATGTTACATAATATGATGTTTAATTTTGTGATGATTATAGGTTTATGTATTTTGTAACATTCGGTTTGGATTGTTTGTTACACACCTGTTATTAATAATTGAGTTTAATAAAGTTTAATATATTACTCTTGGTAATAATTTTTTTGACTACTTTCGAGTGATATAAAAATTCAGTTGCTCTTCAGACTGTCCTAAGATAAATTGGCTGTGCAATCTATTCTATTGAAAAATGTACTACGTAACATGAATATTCAATATCCAGTGTTATAACAACCGAGGTTCTAACGTTGACTCTCTGGGAAAAATTTACATGGATCTAATGTAAGTAAACATAAATTTTTATTCAAGGGGACTGTTTATTTATTTATTCGGTATAAACGGGACGTTGTAGAATAAACTTGTACAAAATTATACTTCAATTGAAACACAGTTACTAAATTCGTACAAATATTGAAATACACACATCGGAAAAGTCTAGGGATATTTTTATAACATACTAAATATCATAAAAATAAATGCATGAGGTCGTTTAATTTCGATTAATAAAAAAAAATTATTGCCATTTTTAAAAATATCCCTAGACTTTTCCGATGTGTGTATATAAAATAAAAAGCAACCTATGAACGATTATAACCGTATTTAGTGTATGACGGTGATCCTTGTATGAATCTGTTCCACTCCCCCTACACGTTACAGTAACCTCTTGGGATTCCCAAAATTCTTTATGCACACGTTACATTTCGTGGCATCATAAGTTATTTGTTTTGCAATTTCAAATTTGTTTATCTGTGGAGAATAGTAAATAAATCTTATAGATTAGATTTCAATATTTGTGATCAAAACATTTAAATGTTTCGTCGTACATACTCTTGCAAACCACAATGGTTCTTAAAATTCCAGATGACATTTTGAAAAATCTCTCTTGCGACGGTTGTTACAAGTTTTTATCGGTGAAACCCGTGAAAATATTTACAGGAAACAAAATTAAATGTGGAAGGTGTGCAAAGGATGGTCAAGATGAAGGCGTGGTTTCCCTTTATGAGTTAATTGCTGATCAGTTTCAGTTTCCTTGTATAAATCGCTATGATGGATGTGATGAACGTCTCACCCCATTTCAAGTGGTGAATCACGAAAAAACTTGTCAGAGTAAGTACTACATTTGCCCGATCTGTCAGGGTGAAGAAGTCCCTACCTTCCTCATGATCAAGCATTTCCGAGAAAACCACAGCGAAGCTTTACTTGAAACGCCGGATTTCAGCCTTGTTCCCAAAGAATTGCTTACAACTGGAAATTGGTTCTTGTTTGAATTTAAACGCAAACAGTTCTTTATCAACTGCTCTTTGAACGGAATTGGAACTACATTAACTTTAGATGTAAAATATTTGGGAGTGCGCAACAAATCAGAAAAAATTACTCAACAGTTCATTCTCCACAACGGAAGAGGTAGGATAGTTACTGAAACAAAACGATGTTTTCCTTATAATGAGGCAGAAAGTAACTGCCTGAAAATAGATATACCGGAGTCCGACAAAAATAATATTCTCACGGTACATGTACGTATCAAGATAAATGTAATCTTACTTTCCGAGATTCCTATTACACAAGCTTCTGAAGTTTCAATGATTGCACAACAGACATCAAGTTCAGTCAGTGCTTCAAAAAGAGGAAGGGGAAATGCTTCTTTGATTCAATTGAAATTTTCAGAATTTAATTTGATGAAGCAAAGGAAAATTTATTTGAATAGTTCCTTGCGTAGCATGAATATTTTAACAGTTGGTTCAACATCTGATCATTTTACATATGTTGGTACCAACAAGAAATTGTTCCTTCGGTGTTTTGAATGCGGGGAATCAAGAACATTCTACTTATCAAAGTCTTTTAATGAGGAATATATTTTGTATATCAATATATTCGAAATAAATGGGAAATTATACCTCAAGTGCAATGTTTGTTGCAAGAACCTAACCAAACTCATCAAATTTATTAAATGTGATACATTTGTATTGATTCGTTTGTTTTGTCTTTGGAATTGCAACCAATCCGTTCCTATTGATGAAATTGATAAGCACGAGTTTGCCTGCGAAAAACAGCCACCTAGGCTATGCCCTTTGGAATCTTGCACAATGAAAGGAACATTGCCTGAAATAAAAAAACATTTTCTAGAGCATTCTCCAGAATATTCTCTGGAATTCGAGTCCACTATTCGTTTGTTTTTGGATCCCTCTAGTTCACCTCTAAGAAAATTTCTCATGTTCAGACATGTGTTTGTCTTCATCGAGTTGAAATGGATTCAAGTTTTGTGGTGTATGGAATTCAAATTATGCGGAGAGAAAGATACTTTTGCTGGAAGGAAACTAAAGGCAGTAGTGTTCGATTATAAGTTGAATAACACAGTTTTGAATTCAGGGGTTCAACCTCTGGCAATAGAATTCAATCATGTGGAAATTGCTGCTATTAAATTTTATTTGGAGAATCAAGAATAAAAGTTTGACTTTTTTAAAACAACGATAAAAATAAAATAAAAACAACAATAAAAATTAATTGGCGCTCCGGGACGACTTCATTGATTCCAGTGGCGCATTTGCTTTTTCAGCTGCAGGAAAACCCGGAAAAACCTGCAGCACCACATCATCTGAAGATCTTGATCTAACAATGTCCTCTCTCATATAAAACAAAATGTAGGGTGTCTCCAGAGGCTCCAATAAATTCAATGCATCACCAGAACACTACGTGACACGACTATCGTCAAACTTAAACCAGTCCGTTTCGTCTTTGACCAAGGCGTAATAATGACCAAAATCAACGCCAGAACCATAGTGAACAATGACTGCATGAATATTATAATAGTGGTATGCTAGGTTGAAATATTCATCTATTTCGAACCTTCCAAAGAGTTTCTTGCTTCTGTTAGAGGTTGAGTCTTGTTTGAAAATCATCAGTGTTATTATTAGATTGACTGGTGCCTCAGCTATACTTGTTTCCTTATAACAGTCAGTTAGTCTGGCGCATGTTTGACAATACAGTCGATCATCACCTGTTAAAAATTCCATTTTCAGATGATTTAACAATAAGCTTTGCATGGACTGGTTATTAGTCATATTAGGAAAAGCTAGATGAAGTTCCATAAATTCACATGAGTTTTCGGTACTTCTTGAACATTTACCACAAAGTTAAACAAGTGAGGATTTTTCCAGCAAAAGATTTACAAACACAAGACGAGATGGGCTGTACGGAATCATTCAGTCCGGAGCTGTCGGGAGTATGGATTTTGCTATTGTTTTACTCACGAAGAGTATTCAAGAATATTTTATTTTGATTTATTCCAAGGATACTACAATTTCTTCAACTTTATATAACTCTTTTGCTATTTACAATTTTTCGATCCTCTAATGTTGCGTCTTGTTATTTTTCAAGTGTTTATAATGTATTTACTTATAAATGTCGATAAACATATATATGTTTTCTGGGTCTGACTTACACAATGTCTGTTGACTTTGAACCTGAATATTCATGAAAATCGACTCTATTATCTGTTGGATTGAAATATATAAATATTAAAGTCTTGGATGTGAAACCTAAAAATGAGAAAACAGTAAAGACTCAGAAAAAAATATTTTAGAGAATAAAATTTAATTTTTGTTTGGTTAATTTATATCATACATTTATATGTTTGCTTGGTTTATTTATATCACACTGTATATTTTGTTATCATTTAAATGTTATATCAGTCTAGCCTGGTAAAAAAAGTAATAGTTGTTGACTGTCAGAAGTTGAAATAGAGACGTCATTAAAGAAGTATCTGGTAGTTTTTTTTGAAAATTATGTTGAAAAAATCAATAATATGGTCCTGTAAGCGGATCAGAAATGAAAATACGGTGAAAAATAGCAAGTCTGAATATTTCAAGAGTTCCAGGAGATCCATCGCTGGCAAAACAAGAGTTTCTTGAAATTGAAAGGCGTATATTTTTAAGAGTTCAATTTTTGGAAAAAAAGAGTTTTGGTTTTCTACTTCTTCATAGTTTCACCAAAGGCTAGAGTGAGTTATTTGAAGCTCATTTCAATTCCGAGACTGCTACAAGTAGCAGTCATGGATGGTCAATTGTTTTTATAGGTACCGAACGTGGGAAGTTTCTTTGTATGGCATGGGCGGCGTGGTATAATTTACGAGGTCTAATCATTATTTTAATGTGGGAGGTTTTATATGGTATTAACAAGAAAATTATTAGACCCGGTACATTAGTCTTCTATTTAGCAACCTAATATTTTGTTTTTCTGGCAAAACGATTGTTTTAACCGAAGGTATAGTCCAAGTAAAAGATATAGTGCCCTCTACCTTCTAGCACTTCCCCTTTAATAAAATAGTTAGGGAGCTAACTAATTTTGTTATTCAATAATTATTCCTGACTATATAAGAATCACAATAACTATAT